TCCTGGGCTGAATGGCATCCACTACTAGCGGCAGATTGACCTTAACACGCTGCTGGACTGTACTAACATTGATGCGGGATTTTGCATCCAGATTTGGAACTAGGAGGCGTAATTTTGTGGGCCATTTTGATCAGGATCACACTCAGTTCATAGAATTTGGAAGCTGACCTTTTTTTCAGGTTGGAAAAATAAATGATGATGCCAACTTGGGCCTATGAGACCGAGATGCTGGGCGTCTGTCGTGGCCTGCGTCGGCCATCCGCTACTCGCCTGATGTGATATGGGACCCACGCCGCACAGACGGGAGGAGCAGGGCAAGGCCACTGGGCCTGTGTAATTACAGAAGCCAACACCCCTTCTTGTTGGAGCTCGTTGATTAGACTGTCTAGCACCTGCACAGGGTAGTGCGCCAGGAGAGCCTGGTCCACTTCGGGTCTCCAAAGCGGTTCCCTCTTCTGCAGAGCGAGATGCTCTGAGCTTGTGTGGGTCAACCAGGATAAAGAGCTACTCGAACGAGGTCCCTTTTCTTCCTGCTTTGTCCCATGTCAACCACAACTCCGCTTGCCGGTGACTGAATTTTCAGGGAAGGTAAAATTCAGCTTCCATGCCCCGATGCCCTGGTCCAGTTTTGCTACTTCGAAGCCCTTGAGATTCTAACCCTGCTGTCCCCTGCTGGACCTCTCACTTCCCAGGCTGCTCATCTGGACGAAGGGAGCTCTGGAAGTGGAGCAGCGGTTCCTAGGACCACTGCTTCGATCTGAGCCCCGCTTCTGAAGGGCAGAGGCGCAGCATTCGCCAGCCAGGCACTGTGTCTTGCTCACCGCCTCTGGCGTGCACACATGTCCCAGCGTCCTGGCGGTGCTGGCCATCAGGTGGCTGCAAACCCCTGGAGCCTGGCAAACCTGAACAACAAGCTACTGCAGGAAACGTCATAACACAGAACACACTCGAGGGGTGTCCTCTCCTGGGTCCTCTGCATAGGGATGCAAACTTTGGTGCACAGGGTAAAGCCTGTGGGTTTTTGAGACGGAGCTGCAGTCTGTCACCCAGGCTGGAGTGCAGTGGGGCAATCTTGGCTCCACTCCCAGGTTCAAGTGATTCTCCTGTCTCAGCCTTCCGAGTAGCTGAGATTACAGGCACACGCCGCCACACACGGCTACTTTTTTGTATTTTAGTAGAGGTGGACTTTCACCGTATTGCCCAAGCTGGTAAACTCCTGAGCCGAGGCAATGCACCTGCCTCAACCTCCCAAAGTGCTGGGATTACAGGCGTAAGCCAGCGCGACGGCCACATGCAGGCTTTATTACCACATTCCCTACTGTCATGTATGTTTAAATATTTCCAAAATACAACTTTTCTTTCATGAAATGATGGTGAAACTTGAGAGCAAGCTAAAAAGTCCCACTTGGCAAATTAAAAGTTGGAAATCCTATGGTGATCACATTTCTTCCAAAAAGTTTACGTGGAAAGTGAAATTCACCATCTAGGAACTGCTGGACTAAATAGTGTTTTTTTTTTTTTTGAGACGGAGTTTCGCTCTTGTTGCCCAGGCTGGAGTGCAATGGCACGATCTCAGCTCACCGCAACCTCTGCCTCCTGGGTTCAGGCAATTCTCTTGCCTCAGCCTCCCGAGTAGCTGGGATTACAGGCATGTGCCACCGTGCCCAGCTAATTTTTTTGTACAGGGTTTCACCATGTTGACCAGGATGGTCTCGATCTCTTGACCTCGTGATCCACCTGCCTCGGCCTCCCAAAGTGCTGGGATTACAGGCTTGAGCCACCGCGCCCGGCCTAAGTGTTGTTTTTTTTGTTTTTGCTCTGAGACGGTCTCACTCTGTCCACAGGCTGGAATGCAGTAGCACGATCTTGACTTACTTCAATCTCTGCCTCCCAGGTTCAGCGATTCTCCTGCCTTAGCCTCCTGAGTAGCTGGGATTACAGGCATGCACCACCACACCCGGCTAATTTTGTATTCTTGATGGAGACACGGTGTCTCCATGTTGGTCAGGCTGGTGTCAAACTTCTGACCTCAGACGATCTGCTCACCTTGGCCTTCCAAAGTGCTGGGATTACAGGCATGTGCCACCATGCCCAGCTAATTTTTTGTATGGGGTTTCACCATGTTGACCAGGATGGTCTCAATCTCTTGACCTCGTGATCCACCTGCCTCGGCCTCCCAAAGTGCTGGGATTACAGGCGTGACACCTTGCGCCTAGTCTGTACCAACTTTTGAGACATGGAGTACAAGGGCATAAATGACCTACATTGCCAACACTGCCAATAACCCATCGAAACTTATCTGCCCACAACTATAATATACAATTTCTTCTAAGAGTCAAGGTCTCATTGTTGCCCAGGCAGGGAGTGCAGTGGCCATGATCACAGCCCACTTCAGCCTCCCAGGTGAAAACATCACCACCTTTTGGAATTTCATCACAAACAAAGACACTTTCGTGATACACAAGTCAGGTGGTGCCAATCTTCACTGAGTGTGAGTTAGGGCCTAGCCACTCCCCTACCTGGTCAACTGTCAAGGAGGCCCCACGGGGAGCAGAGCAGGACAGGAGAGCCTGGCAACTCCTGTGCAAAGCTGGGGGGCTTCTGAGGATGAGGTAAATGGCCACCAGGGCATGGTTTGGGATAGCCAGTTTGAACATTTCCATCTTAGGAGTGGAAAGGCTCAGCCCCCAGTAACTGACTTCTGGCAGGATCCCCGCACTGGTCAGCTGGCTGTCACCACAGTCACACCACCAGCACCAGTGGCCTGAATTCCTAGACACAAGCAGCTCAGGGAAAACACCAGACAGCGCCTAAAGGCAGATCTACAGGTGCCTAAAGGCAGATTGGCAGCGCAGGCTTCTGGCTGCCATCGGCGAAAGGAAACGTGGACACAGGCCACTGGTCCACAGTGTGCCACACGAACATCCACACTCCCTCCCACATGCCTCCCTGGAATCCACTGGGCTCTTGAGACTCAGGAAATGCGAGAAAATAGCACAGACCGGGTGCACCCCATGTCTCATCACAGGATGCAGTCTACAGCCTGTGTACTAATGACAGCTAAGCATTTCTTCATTAACCACTTAATAGAATCTAGAACCCAAAAGGCTGTCTCGAGAGCCTGGATCATTTGTTAACGAGTAGGTAACAAGAACATCCACCCCTCACCCGGTACGTGTTTCATTTCATGCCCCAAGTTCAAAAGTACGATTTCATTTATATTCAAGGTGGGAGATGGATATTAATCTACCTCCAACAAGGATGACCAGCAGGTCTCGAAAGAAGGAATTTAAGGAACTTCCACGAGAAATAAGTCACACCGAGAACACTGTTATCACTACAAATTTTATTCAGAAACCCATCTTTGTGTTTTTTTTTTTTTTGTTTTTTAAAAAAAATTCCCCTTATGAACTGGTTTGGTCAATCAACTACAACACTTTCTAGCAGACATAAGGTAAAAATGGCATGGCTCAGAATCGCCCAGATCTTTCACGATCTCTCGACCGCCTCCTGTCACGCTCCCGTCCGCCGCCGCCTCCACCGCCGCCACCGCCACCGCCACGACCGCGGTCTCTAGACCGGGAACGACGCTCACGGGATCGGGATCTTGATCTATGCCTGCAACCGAAGGACAGAAAGAAAACCATGCCATCCAAGCCAGAGCGTGCAACAGATCACAACTCACTGAGAAGTACTGTGCATCTCCTCACGCAACGGCACTGACAAGGAAGAACACTGCCGGGCTGTGCGCGGTGGCTCACGCCTGGAATCCCAGCACTTTGGAAGGCCGAGGCAGCTGGATCACAAGGTCAGGACATCAAGACCAGCCTGGCCAACACAGCGAAACCCCATCTCTACTAAAAACACAAAAATTCGCCGGGCGCAGCAGCGAGCTGAGATCACACCAGTATATTCCAGCCTGGGCAACAGAGTGAGACTGTCTCAAAAAAAAAAAAAAAACCAAGGGCAGCTTAGAAGTGAACGGTGTAACATCTTCCATCCTGTCTGCTAGAACCAGCTCAAATGACCACAGGAAATCCTGGTAAAATGAACTGGGCACACCACCCTCAACCCTCACGGACTGACACTGCACTTCAGGGACCTTCCAACCAAGCCCCCTCTCTTCAGGTGCTTATGGCTACTGTGTCTACCAGGCTGGTTTTTGGGCTGGGGACAGTAAGGTTATTTTTCTCTCACGCTTCTTTTGTGTTGACAATAAAACAGTCACCGTCTATTTCCTGAGACACATTTAACTGACGAGGGATGAGAACCCTTCTAGACTCAGACCTCAGTCTAACTAGAAACGCAGCTTGTCAGATGGTGCCGTCGTGGTCTTCTCTGTTCTGTGACTGACTGTTGGGCTTTCAAATGTAGGATCAGGCAGATGTGACCACCGGGCCCAATTCTGCCAGTGTCCTGAAAGGAGGGTGCCACCGATGCCCCCAAAACAAAATGAAATGCCCCAAACCAACCAACGAAACCAGAAGCAGCCCCAGTGGACACGCAGGATGTTTAAAGCAAGCTCGTCCGACCTGCAGCCCAACACAGATCCGTCAACCTCCTGAAAACATGAGAAATCTGCGATGTCTAAAGAAGTTATCACCTAGCATTAGTGTACGTTCTGTGTGGCCCAAGACGGTTCTTCCGGTGTGTCCAGGGAAGCCATCCCTGGTGTAAAGGAGGTCACGACATCTAGTATTATTAATAACATCTGGGAGAAGAAACCGAGTGCCGCTTTCTCCGTGGGCCTCATTTCCAGGGCTGCCCAGCTACCTGCCCTCCTACTTAGTTATTGAGCTTTGACCTCTGCTTGAGAAGCTGGATAACGAAGTTACCTGTGTGCAGGTGAATATTCTTCTCCAAAGAGGGTATTTGGATATTTAAAAACATGTACTATGTTCTAAGCCCTGCCTTTAAAAAAACAAAAGCAACACCCATGCCTAACTGTTCTTTTGGAGGGTAAGCAGCCACAGAGTGAAACAGTGGGCACAGGACACTCACTTCTTGCGACGGCGCCCATACAGCTCCCGCCGCAGCTCTCTGGAAATGGGCTTCAGATGCATGAAGTTGCAGAAACCGCCTCGCGTGCATTCCCTGTGGGGTGGAAGAGACACTCACTACCTCGCGTATATTCCCCGTGGGGTGGAGGAGACACTCACTACCCTGCGTGCATTCCCTGTGGGGTGGAAGAGACACTCACTACCTCGCGTGCATTCCCGTGGGGTGGGAGGCAGACACTCACTACCTCGCGTGCATTCCCTGTGGGGTGGAGGAGACACTCACTACCTCATGTGCATTCCCTGTGGGGTGGAGACACTCACTACCTCATGTGCATTCCCTGTGGGGTGGAGACACTCACTACCTCGCGTGCATTCCCTGTGGGGTGGAGACACTCACTACCTCATGTGCATTCTCTGTGGGGTGGAGACACTCACTACCTCGCATGCATTCCCGTGGGGTGGGAGGCAGACACTCACTACCTCGCGTGCATTCCCTGTGGGGTGGAGGAGACACTCACTACCTCGTGTGCATTCCCTGTGGGGTGGAGGAGACACTCACTACCCTGCGTGCATTCCCTGTGGGGTGGAGGAGACACTCACTACCTCGTGTGCATTCCCTGTGGGATGGAGGAGACACTCACTACCTCGCGTGCATTCCCTGTGGGGTGGAGGAGACACTCACTACCTCGTGTGCATTCCCTGTGGGGTGGAGGAGACACTCACTACCCTGCGTGCATTCCCTGTGGGGTGGAGGAGACACTCACTACCTCGTGTGCATTCCCTGTGGGGTGGAGGAGACACTCACTACCTCGCGTGCATTCCCTGTGGGGTGGAGGAGACACTCACTACCCTGCGTGCATTCCCTGTGGCGTAGGAGGGAGACACTCACTACCTCGTGTGCACAGAGCCCCGGACCGCGCGCAGTCACCACGGCAGTCGCCCACACTCACCCCATCTCATACTGACGGCAGCAGGCTTCTCTGAAGTCCGTCACGGGCGACAGCTCGGCGTGGATCGGCTGTCCATTAAACCAGCGGTTATTCAAGTCAATCACAGCCTTCTCCGCATCTTCCTCACGGCGAAACTGGACACGGAAGAGGAGCGCGCTTGCCACCCACGCTTTACTAACTTTCCCAGTTACTGACCCAAATACGCATCAGAGATGCATACTCGGGTACGGGAAGGCGGAATGGTACTGTAGGGTCATTTAAAAATTCTTTATTTTCAATCAGACTCACTTCAGGATTTTGCCAAATGCTGCTTTCATTTTCAAATTCGACTGGTTAAGGGAGCAAATAAGACTGTTTAGGCAAAGAAACTTTGATTCAATAAAAAAAGCAGCCAAACCCGTGAGTAAACCTAACTTTTCCTTAGTCCAAGTAGCTTCTAACCAACAGGTACTAAATATTCTACACTGAAGTAATGACTGAGTATACCGTCCGTCCTTCAGCTCTGCCGGCCGGGCGCGTGGGCAGGCCAGCCACTGCCGTGCAAGGCAGCCGGTAAGCGGCGAGCCAGCGCACCCGAGCCCTGCCGTGCGTCTGAGCATCCGGGACCCAGGGTCACCCACGACAGGCACCCCTGCTCTGTCGGCCGCGCGTGCCGTCTCGGTCTGGCTCCTACCTTGACGTACACGTTCCCCACCAGGTGGTCGCCCAGGTTATCACAGACGTTCATCTCCTCAACTTCCCCATACTTCTCCTCCATCTCTGTAAAAACCTCCTGAAGGGAGACCACAGTAGTTTAAGGTTTGTTGTACATTAAAAAGTGTAACTAGATATAACTCATGTATGTTTACTAGCGGAGAAAACGTTAAATCCTTCCAGACAGACACAGAAGGTGAACAGGTCTATCAGTTACAGAGGTCAATTCTCTCACCTCAAAAAATTCATCATAGTGTTCCTGCATCTCAACATCGCTCACGGCACCTGCAAACAACAGAAATCTTGCTGGTTAGAACGTGTTAACCCAGTGAACTCTTGTGCTTAAACTCAAACTGCTACAGTAACACACAAGATTCTCTAGAGAAAAGCCCGACAGAGCTGCGCCCCGCAGGAGGCTGGGCCACACGGCTACTTGGGAATGGTGTCCAGTGTGGTGAGATGCTATATACCCCCGTGGCAGTCTCAGTTCTGGCCACTAAAACAGTAAAATCACAACCTGCTTTAATCAGCATTGAAAGGGCCACATTTTGAGAGAAGTGTGAGCAAAAAGATGACTGTCAAACTAAGGCTTTTCTTCCCTCCCAAGATGCAGTCTTGCTCTGGCGCCCAGTGGCTGGAGTGCAGTGGCATGATCTCGGCTCAATGCAACCTCCACCTTCTGGGTTCAAGCAATTCTCATGCTTCAGCCTCCAGAGTCCCTGGGATTACAGGCACACGACACCACGCCTGGCTCATTTTAAAAAATTTTTAGCAGAGATGGGGTTTCACTATGTTGGCCAGGCTGGTCTCAAACTCCTGACCTCAGGTGATCCCCCCCCTCAGCCATGGCCTCCCAAAGTGCTGGGATTATAGGTGTGAGCCACCGTGCCTGCCCTCAAAATAAGAAATTTTAAGATAAAGGGATTCCCCAGCTCTCTGGAATCCCCTCCCACATAGTGGGAGCTCAAAAAAAAAAAAAATTTTTTTTAAGATAAATTTTTCTTCAAGATTTAGAATAAAGGGCAAGTGGCACACTGATGCTTTCCCTTCTTCTATTAGTTTAAAATGAAAGCCAAAAGCAGGGTAAATGATTCAGAGTGTATGTTCCTAACTAGTCTTTTATGGACTGCCAGCCACGGAATGCTCTAAGTCTTTCTGACGTCATTAAAACCCAGGCAACCACGAAGACTCGGCAGGGAGTTACCACGCAGCACCGCGGCCCTTTGGATGCCCTCAGTAACGGGAAGGTTGCAATGCTTTGTTGATAAAGCATTCTCAAGTTTATATTCCCATACTATTTTCATCAGTTTGTCTTCATAATTCACATGTATTAAGTAAAATCAAGTCTCTTGTGTGGGCAGATTTTGCAAATTTACACTCTATCCCCATTATCATGCTATCAAATTTAATTTTTTTTTTTTTTTTTGGCCAGGCTGGTCTCAAACTCCTGACCTCAGATGATCCACCCACCTCAGCTCCCAAAGTGCTGGGATTACAGGTGCGAGCCACTGCACCCGGCCCATTCTATCAAATTTTATGTTCAAATCCTAGAATTCTCTAAACCCTGAGAAATCACAAAGCTAGTATATCAATAAACATGTTTAAATCTGCTAGATCAGGAGCTGGCAAAAGCCAGACTGGTTTCCAGGTTGGGCCACCTGCCTCAGCCTGTGTACCCAACATGGCCATCTGACTGCTGGCACAAGGGTCTTTGAGCTTTGCTTAAAACTTAAAAAAAAAATTTTTTTTTGAGATGGAGTCTCGCTCTGTCACCAGGCTGGAGTGAAGTGACGCGATCTGGGCTCACTGCAGCCTCCGCCTCCCAGGTCCAGGCGGATTCTCCTGCCTCAGCCTCCCAAATAGCTGGGACCACAGGCACGTGCCACCATACCCAGCTAATTTTTGTATTTTTAGTAGAGGCGGGGTTTCACCATGTTGGCCAGGATGGTCTTGATCTCTTGACCTCGTGATCTCCCCAGTTTTGCCTCCCAAAGTGTTGGGATTACAGGCGTGAGCTACCACACCCAGCCCCCTTTTCATCTTAAATAGTAAAAAATAACTTCTTGTCTTTGAATTCTGAGACTGATTGAAGTTCACTTTCTAACCTATCTGGGCTATTTTAGCTATTTTTGAACTTCCAGATTCTACTTTGCTTTCAAACCCAAATTCTATTAAGTGTAACTACTCTGCCAGCCTGCCAATCTTATCACAGGATTATCTCAGTTTAAAAGCTACTGGGAATGTGCCCTCCTCTCCGAGTAGAAATCAAGTTAGAAACAACAGAAAAGCAGGCCAAGGAAGCCTGTAACCAAGGGCAGACTGTAATACTGAAGACTTGCCTCCTTCCCCACATCAGAAGAGTGTGAAGGGGAGAAAAACATTTACCTGCTCCAACTTGAAGCAGCTTTAAGAAAAGGGTTTGTGGTGATTATTTTAAACTATTAGCTTAAAACGTTTATTTTTTTATTCTGCTTAAAATGTTTCAGTCAATCAAATGACTTGAAAGGCAGAGACAAGTGCATTACAATATTGATTTAAAACTTATTCATGACTCAACCTATGTTAAACACTACAACGTGGAGAACAAAGCAGTTTTCTTCACAGAAATATCATTCTTAAACGAGGATTGAAATTTAACTTTAACCCACACATCTGAAGCTTATTTTTCTACATACTAAAGCCTATGTTAAAAAGAGCCAATAGCTTTAGGCAACTGATTTCTTCCTAAAATGATGAATTAGAATTTGATCTAATTGGTAGAATCTGGACCCCAGGGCTGGAATATATCGTAATTGCTAAGCTTTTAGTTTGTAGCATATACAAAACAAAAGTATTGTGAACTGCAAATAAAGACACAAAGAAAACTAACACAACATTCTATTGTCAACAAGGCATACACAGTCCCCAAATAAACGAGCAGGGCAAAGAATTAATCACTGTTACTCAGTCACCTCCTTCCATTCGCTTTTATCCCAGGGCAGGGTTATTAACAAAACTTCTTTGATAAGTGCATATATTAACATTTCCCTCCTCCTATTCATCTTATTTCTTTAAAAAACAAAAGGAAGCAAACAAACAAAAAACCAGGTATTTGAAATCATGGGTTACCAAGTGCATCCTGCTACCATCCTACTCAGGGAAAGAAGTCTCCACTGTCAGGTCAGTGTGAGCACTGAAAGCATTTGGTGTCTTGGCAGGAAAAGCTGACAAGAACGTCCCCATCCACACATGGAAATGCGAACCATGGTGTGCAAGGAAGCATAACCCTGAGGCCTCCCCGTGTGGGGCCGGCTCGAGGGGGCTGTCCCCTGGATCACGTGCAGGTCACCCTGTTAACTGAGGGGCTCTGGTTCGAGTGTGTACACCATTTAGGCTTGTGGGTGTCCAAGGGCACCTCGAGTTTCACGGCTTTAAAACAGGATGAATGGGAAGCGTTATCTTTGGTTTGGACTTTTTGATTTAACCAAAAGTCCAGGTGTTCATCTAAATGTATCCATAAATGGCTGCATTTATTCTAGAGCTGGGTGGCTGTAAAAATTCATTTTGGTTTCTGAACTGTCCAATCATAGGCATCTATATCTGTTCTCTAAGAATTACCTTTAAGTAAATACCCACAATCTAAATTTAATACTTCCCGGTACAGGAAGAAATTGGTAGCGTCTACTGAATGCCTCGCTTAGAGCAAACCCAGTCCATCTCCTAGAGCTGGAGACTGGATCCAGGCAGTGTGTGGACAGAGGGGACAATCTTTTCCGCCAAGGGCCTATCTGAGTGGCGCACCCTCGCGCAGGTTAGACGGGCTGGCATGGGGCTGCTGGGTGACGAACTCAGGGGCGATGCAAGCCGCAGACTCTCATTTGGGGAACTTTCTCAGAACTGCTCTCACAAGTAAAGGGTGTACTCCAAAATGGAGTTCAAGGAAAAAAGGCTAATAAATAAAATCTGAAATAACTTTTGAAAATTCCAGAAGGTGAGAGAAAAGTTCAAATATTGCTCTTAAGAGGGAAGAACAGACTTGATGTTTAGTTCCAGTCCGTTCCCTCCAGGATGACGGCCAAGGAGGGAAGAGGGAGCAGCAGCTCCTGACTGTTGTAAAGGGCGCCCTTTCCCTGTCCACCACACGGGCGGGAGCTCGTATCTCCAGCACAGGTGGTTTCCGTGGGGTCAGTGGGACGAAAGCTCCTCGCCACCTCTAGTGAAATGCGGTCCTTGACACTAGCACGGCAGACCAGATGGAGTGGACACTGAGCTCTGACACGCAAGCCCAGGGAACCGGGGAAGGAACTTGTATGAACTTACAGCGCAAACCGTCAGCAGACTGGGAAGAGTTTTGAGGGTTACGGTAAATGTTCAAGAGGGCAATGGTCTGAAATACAAAACGCAACAACTTTATATTATGGAAAATTAAAGGTAAACACTTAACCGGCTGCCTCTGGCAAGTGCTTCAGTTGAGATTCAGTGCTGAAAAAAGAGCAAGTTATTTCTTCAGAAGCAGAGATGTTTTCCTAGTTGATGGCTGCCTCGGAAGCCCTAGCGCTGCAGTGTAACGGAGGTCTCATGATATGCCAATCTTGTACTTCTGCTTACACAATGCGCAAACTCCTTTTCAAAACTCCAATTCAGGGAAAAGCACGATCGTTTGCTAGCACTAAAATGTCAGTAGACATGACAGAAAATTTCTAATAAACTCAGAATAAAGCCGATGTAAACCAAAGGAAGAAGTTACTGTTATTAGAGAAATACAATTGTTACATATCATGAAATCTCCACTTCCTGGGGGAAAAATGATAATGGTGAAATCAAACCCACACTTACTGGGCGACTTACCTTATTGATTCCTTAATATTCCTATGAGTTTTAATTTTACAGAAAGAACTTAATAACGGCCAGGCATTCAGTCACTGTGAAGACCAATGAATGGCTCAAAAGGTTAAAATCCGTTTCACATGGACGGACCTGCTCTCATGACAAATGTCAATCAATGGAGGTGGCCGGGCCAGTGACCTTCCCTAGAAGGGACAAGCCTCCTGAACGTGGCCGCGTATCAAGTTCTTGCTGTGGCGCCAAGGAGTTCCAGCACCTTGTCCTGTTTGCAACAGCTCTATGTCAGCAGCTCAGAAGCCAACATTATTGTCTCAATTAAGAGTGGGCTCTTTAACACCATTGTTTTAAAAAAATTTCTCCAACTGTGGGACTTACAGTGTGAGCCGTCAGCCGTCTGTGCACTGTTTTGGGGATTACGATAGATGTTTTGAATCAAGATGGTCTGCGGGGAAAAAAAAATAAAAAGGGGAATTCTACTGGCTGCTGTGCATATATTAGACAATTGCAAAGAGACAATTTGTTTGCAAATGGCTACACGCTTGCTTTGTGCTAGCTTTCTCCGCAAGTCAGACACTTGTCTTCTGAAGAGTACACCAAAGCCTCATATTATGAAAACAGAGCTTGAGCAGTGACCTGGTCAAGTCAGCCAGCAACCAAGAAGAAACTGTACTGTTTGGAGTGGCCCCCCGTTTCCAATGCTCAAGCGTTTAATGCAAGATCAGTAACAGAACACTAACATTTCTTGTACTTCAAGCTAGCAGACACCAAGATGTGGGAAAATTCACACGATAATCATATTCCTCACGCAAGGTATTTTTTCAAACCCAAATGCGTAACTCAGCTGTCTGCGGTACATCAGTTCTCTGGTCTCCTAGCAAAACAGGCACACCAAACAGCTTTCAACTGTCATGGACACCCGGCTCTGATTGACACTTTCTTGGTGGGATCTCTGTTTACATAATACAATAGCTTAAAACATTTGCTCTTTTCCGATCCTTCTTTTAAGGAAAAAAAATCCTTTTAGCCCTTGTGCTTTAAACTGGATCAGGCAGACTTGAAACCTTACACTGTACCGTTCTTCTTAAAATCAAGTTGTCTGAAAAAACAAACCATGTTTAAGTTAGTAGGCTAATATAGTACACGAATCTTAATGTCCATATCACTGTAAGCAGCTTACAAAGACACCCCCCTAAATTATGCTAGAGATTTACAAGCTAATCAATCACTCATAGGATTTGGAAAAACGCTTCATCTCAACAGTTTGCATGGGAAGCAGTTCTGTCAGTGGTGGCTTCGTAAAACCAGCCAATTCCATTTCTAGCTCCATCGAAAGGGGAGTGGTTGTATGAAGAAAGCCCCTCAGTCAAAAGTCTGCGGCTGGGAAGCCCACCTAAGAGGGAGGTCTGACAAACTACTGGACCATCAGACCCAAACTGGCACCTGCGTCAGGGCCCATCTCTTCCCTAAGCTTACATCAAGTACTGCCAGGAGTCACCTGAACGCAGGCCTGGGAGGGTTCCCAAAGCTGACTCTACTCATGACAGCTCTGATGAAAACTGCACTGAGCCCAGTTACTCAACAGTAAAATTCACAGTTGGTCTCACTCAGATATTCTGGCAGTGGCTATTTAACATAAAGAGGCAATGCAGTCCCATCAGAACAGGGGTGGCTGGGATTGCCTAAAACCAACCAGAAGGAACTTACACATCAAGCTAGGGTGCTTAAGCCGACACATTCTTCTACTGGCTCCATCAAGCTCCAATGGGCTCTCCCCACCACTGAGCCGGAGTGCCTAACCTAAGCTCACGTTCTCCGGTAATCCCTGGTCCAGACACATGTAAAGCAAATGCCTCTGGCCAGATTAGAGAAAACTTTTAGAATCGGGAACAGCTCATTTCTCTTAGCCACGTGGAACACCCCCTGCCAATCACAGAACTGGGAGGTCACGTAAGGGGCTTGGTTATAGCACAGTCCAGGGCCACTGGCTTAATTAGGGGAGATTCAGTTCATAAATCAAAACATATAAGAAAAAACAATTGTAAATTTAAAACTAGTTCTCCAAGATTTTGAAATTCACAAAAAGAGACAGGTTGAGAGCTATGAAAAAACAGACTGCTGTTACACTAGCCACTTGGTAATTAGGACAATGGAGGAAAAGCCATCATCCTCTTCTAAATACACCGTGTGCTGTGGGGTTGGCTATGGGCATGACCAGGAAAAAAACCGTGTTTCCCCTCCCAGCTCACTTATACCAAGTGGCAGATTTTCTTAAATGCACACAGGAAAACATACACAGAAAAATGTGGGCTCAAAGGCAGTCTGGCAGCTCCCAGGGGCCACGCACAATACCTCCTCAACGGTTAGACTTCAATTGGGGGGGTTGGCATTGGAAGGAGCTCCCCAATCCTCCATCTAGAAAGACTTGGGCATAGATTTTCAAATTGCAAATGTTCTCATCAACTTGGGTACAAGTTTTCTGCTCCTGATAGAGGTGCTTTCTCCCTTTCCCCCGTAAGTGATCCTTTATAGTGTACAAACCTTTGTCTTTTCTTCAACTGACCAACAATGAAACTATCAAAAAATCCCAACTTTTGATTGAACTGAACTCAGAGCGGCTCTAAGCCAATGATAACAGGCACTCCTCAGTTCACTGAAGAGACCGGCTCCAAGCAATTTACAGCCCATTTTCTACCTTTAAGCTCCATTTTTCATGTTTCCATGACATGATGCAACTTGCTGTTTCCTCAACTAGGGATGTGAAACTGAGGACAGTCAGAGCAGCGCCAGCAGCCCCGCGGGCCCGGGGACAAGCACGCTCGCTCGCACACTGGCTCCACCACCTCTACTGTTTGGAGACAGCAGAGAGCAGAGAGCCCACTCTGTGTCCACTGGTGCCTGGAAGAGGCTAAGCCACGGCTGGCACGCACCCCCTCTGGACCCATGTCTATTAGAGGCATAGGGAACATGGCAGGGCAGCAAATGTCAGGCACAGCCAACACACAAACATCAAAAACTTGTTTTTAAATTTTCTCTAATGATAAAAACAAGGAGTGGTGCTCTCAGACCTTCCACTGGGAGAGGACCTGCCTCATTCTAACAAAAGAATACACTTATGAATACAAATGGAAAATACAACTAGAGAAAAAAATGACGTCCTTAATGTGTAGAAATTAACCGTTTTTGAAAAGAACGTGAAATTTTTACAATTTACATGAAAAAAAGCAAACAAACCTGGCTAAACGTTGGTTTATTGTGCAACCGAGAGCACCTGTCTCCATGACGACATGCTCCAATTTTGAAATAAAATGAACAGTTGACTCTGTAAGGGAAAATAAGAGCTGATTATTTTGCTGGGAAGATACAAACACATGGAAATACGTCATCAGCACGATACACACGGTCACAGGACTTTATGGAGGGCTTCCTGTGGAATGAAGCACCGCCTTCTCCTTGCTCTATTTCAGGGCAACGGAACTTCAACTTCCCCTTCTTCAAACTACCCGTTCATCAGACTATTCTACGTCCAACTTGACGCCTCAGTGAAATCCCCTCCATTTTCCTCACTGTCCAGCTTTTCTCCTGGTTTTTTTCTTAAACTGAGTACTAAATTAGCCGAAAGCTAAATGCAACTAAAGCTTATCTGCTCTCCAGTTCTTCACAATGAAGCTCTCTTGAAAACAGCAGTGTAGTGAGGGTTAAGACCCCAACTCTGCCACCAGCGGCCTGGGCTTGGGCAGGTCACCCTGGCTCTCAGGTGTCATTTGTAATGAGGAAACCTCCATGGCACCGTTCTGAGAGTCACCTGGAACGTATGTGTGTTTCATACACAGTGCTCACGAAGTAGTGTCATGATTTAAGGAAAATGGAAAACCAAGTTCAGAGTCTCTCTAAACCCTGACACCAGACCAACAGGGAGTTCCAAAAAATAGGTCTGAAGTAAATCAATTCTCCTGGTCTCAATACAATGAAAACAAGCTGTTAGGGGACTGACCAAACCCAGCTTAGGACACACCTAACGTCACCTTCTGTCTCTTGCAAAACCCTCCCTTAATACTGTTCAAATACACTGACAATCCAGATCCATAGCCAGTGGAACCCGCAATGACGCCTGTGTGCCAGCAAAGCCAGGTAGGGAAGCAGATCTCTAAGGAATTAGGACATCTTACTAGATGGACTCCTTTCAAATTCATTTTTTTTTTTTAAACCAAATGTCATTATGTTTTAAACAGTCAATCCAAAGTTAAGATTGAAGGGCCTCAACCTCAGTGAAATCTGATGGACCATGAAGGCTGACTAGCCATCGATTTATTATCAGGTAGCAACAAAGATGGGAAAGTGAATTTGCCAGGAGAGGAAAGTGATTACATATATTTGCAAACTTATAAGTCTTACTTTAGATTATCTAACTTGATGAGACAATAGCATATCTTTAGGAAGTCATGTGAAAATAAAGATTATTGAAAAACTACCTCAGAATGGGCAAGCCCATGGTTAAACAATTAATATCCGATTATTCCATATAATTAAACCATAGACAAGCTATCAGGATATGCTTGAATCTAGAAAACATCTATGACTTCAAATGAACAATAAGCTGAATATTTTTTAATTGGTAAAGATCTATATTTTATTCTTAGGTAATTAAACGAAGTTAAGAGAAACCATCAGCTTTATTTTTTAGGAGCTGATCCTGTTTCCTGGAAGCTAAAATCCCATTCTCCCTGAAAAGAAAACACAAGTAAACCTGGATTAAATAGTCAATTTTTCTGAATTAAAACCATAACTTTACAGTACAGCCCAAATAGGTTGAAATATGATTACAGCAGAAATACAGGAATATAACCTCTTACAAGACACAAGTCACGGCACAGACGATTATGAAAAGGTGAAATTAATCATGCCCCCTGATCCTACACGTGTTCAGTTCCTCATCCTAAACTCAGAAAAGCCTCTTGTTCCAGTAGAGCTGTCTATTCATTCGCCAAGATCATACCACGAGTTCCTTAAGGATAATATCCAAATTTTACCCATGTTTAAGGCTGCAGAAGTTGGCCTATAGTTGACCCCCACTAAATGTTTCTGGAGTGTGACTATTACTGGTGATTCTGACTTAAAATTTTGCTAGAAAGAAATATAGGCCCCTCATCCAAACAACACAGGAGATTCTACCATGTGTGAAGAGAACATTTTACAAGATAGACTCCATCCTGGAAAAGAGAAACATTTTAAACAGCGTTTGAAAAAAGTGGCATTAAAAACATCCATGACAAATTTAGGGGTTTATCATTGAAAACATAAAGTCACGTTAGCTTTGTACGGCACTGAGGAATGCCAAGATAATCTACTTACTGCACGAGTAGATAAGCCAGATGCTGAGTCTCTGTGTTTTCAAAGAAAGAATTATCCTTCAAACGTCTGAAAACATTCGCTTTAGTCTAAACTACAGCCAACTCACTGGAAATTGATACGTATCAAGGTGGCAATTAAACAAAGCTGAAATTCTGTTTTGCTTTTAACCTAACAGTTGATTAGGGAAAGCATGCAACCTCAAGGAAAAAACGCACCAAAACATCTTTTTCTTTATATCAGAACTGTGTCAAGAACAGTCACGGACTTAAAAGTTCTCAACTTATACGATGGGTTTCTCGGGGTATTAAAGGCATCGATTCATGATGGGTTTATCGGAACGCAATCCCATCGTAAATCGAGGGGCACCTGTATTTTGCGAGCAGCTCACGTCTTTTGTGGTTAGACAGTTAACTCAGTAGTCTCCACCACACAGTTTCTCGTCATATGTCCTTACTGCCGGCCCAGTGGTCGCTTAAACAGGCAAGAGGCTTGCTAAGTGGATAAAACACCAACGCTTAGGACCCTAAGTTAGATAAGCGACTGAATCCTGGCGAGGCTGGTACCAGAGCTTGCTCCACAAGACTCTCACCGCTGAAAGTTGGAGCAAACGTGTCCACATCGAAAAGGCCCGGATGCGCCAGGCAACTTTCAGCGCTGCTCGAGGCGGCTTCCGGGGGCCAGAGGCTGGAGGCCCGGACATCGGGCGATCAGCCCGCCCAGGCCCAAGGGCGGGATAGAGCGCCCCAAAAAGAAGCCCCATTCATTCGCCCCGCTCCATTCTTCCGCCGCGCGGCCCACGAGGCGGCTGCGGCTCGCGGCTCCTGGAGGGCGCGCAAGGGGCCGGAAGGGCCGCCGCACCTTCCCGCCGCCGAACCCCTCCCCCCGCCGCCGCCGCGCCAGCCCGCTCGGGCCTCCCCGGTCGCCCTTCCGCCGCCTCAGCTGCCCCGCGCCCCGATCGCGCCCAACCCCCGACGGGCGGCTCCCACTCACTTGTCTTTCTCGGTGCCGAAAATGGAGGCCAGATACTCCGCCATTTCCCACCCGCCGCCGCTGCCGCCGCCGCCGACACTGCTGCCGACGCCGCCAACCCTGCAGACGCCCGCGGGAGACGTCACCCTAGAGCGACGACGCTCTTCCCCGCCCCGACGTGCACCAATACCCAATCAGGCGAGGCGCTGCCTGCACGTGGGCGGGACGCATGCGCGTAGGAAGTACGTAGTGCGCACGGAAGGCCCCGCCTTTTCAGTCCTGGTAACCCGCCCCGCCCGGCCTTCGCCCTCCTGCTCGGCGCTTGCCTTGCTGTGGGCTTCGCGCTGTGGTTTGGGGGCTGGCAGTGCAGACCGAACCGGGGCCGAGGGGCTTTTCCGCAGAGCCTCCCGGGGCTCGGTGCGGGGCGCCCAGCTCGACCCCAGGCCAGGGAATATTGAGAAGTGCGGCGTCCCCTTCCCCACACGGTTGCGCGTGTTGCGGGGGAACCGTCGACCTTACAGAAAAAAAGCTGAGGCAAACTTTATATAGTAGAGAGGTTATTGGGGCCAAGTTTTAAGACTGCAGCCCGGGAGCACCGCTTCAAGTTGCCCTGAACATAGGATTAGCAACGGTTACAAGTGGGTTTATAAAGCAAAAGAGAGGGGCAGTTTTTAAATTGCTCACCAGGAATTTACATGGAAGTAACAAGCTATTGATTGGCTATGCATTGTTCTTTGTGTCGTAATTCCCGTAAAGGAAGGTCATGGGTGAAGGCAGCGGGTCTGGAGCGACGGTGCCTTTAAACAGTCGCCAGGCATGGGTGGGGACCGCTGAAGCCCCGTAGACCTGTCTCTCAGGGCCTGGTTAACGGCACACACGTCACATAGCTCGGGCGCTCTGTGCTGTTTTTTTTTCCGTCGCACCCCGCTCGGCTTCCCCCTCCCTGAACGCTTGCCAGCTGCGACCTCCCCGGGACCCTGCATTCTTTGAGTGGCCGGGCCAAGGCCACACACAGGTGGAGCTGGAAGGCCAGTGACTTGCCTCTGGGATACCCTTTCGGTCCCCTTAGGGCACAAGGCTGGAACCATTCCGTTGGAACAGTTCTATTCCTCCCCCCTGTGTTTTAACCACCCCATCAAGTAGCCATTTTCATCTGGTTTCCCACATTGATCAACTCGCCTTCGATTTACCTAATTTCCAACCCAGCTGTCTACTCTGGTTGGGTGTAAGTCCGACAGGGCCTGCTTCACTTACCTCCCCCTCAAGATGAGCCCCAGGCTGTGGGGAGGAGCGGGGGGTCCTCTTGGCTGGCCAGAGCTGAACGCTGAGCACTAGTTTGGACAGAGTTGCGCGTTAGAATGGCATCTCTCTTGGCAACAGAGCATCTTCCCACCTGGGAAGGATCTGCGAACTGGAAAGTTGTCTTAGGAACAGTAGGGACTACGAGGTGTAAACCAAAAAGTGTCTGAGACAGGGCTCAATGAATTTAGAAGTTTATATTGCCAAGGTTAAGGACAATGCCCGGGGGGAAACACGGAAGCACAGGAAGAGTCTGGGGTCTGTGCCTTTCTCAAAGATGACTTTGAGGCCTTCATTATTTAAAGGGGAAAAGGTGGGCTGGAGGGGAAAGCGGGACAATTATTCCCTAATCCCACACATTGCAAGAGAAAAGAAGTGGGTGGGGAACAGTCAATTGTGTACTAGGCAAACCCAAACCGTACTTTACATAAGAGAGAAAAAAAAAAGGCAGTTGCTTGCTTATATGTCAGCTTTCAGCTCTTTTTTTTTCTTTCTTTCTTGAGACGGAGTTTCGCTCTTGTTGCTCAGGCTGGAGTGCAGTGGCACAATCTCCACTCACTGTAGCCTCCGCCTCTCGGGTTCAAGTGATCCTCCCACCTCAGCCTCTTGAGTAGCTGGAATTACAGACATGCACCACCGCGCCCGGCTAATTTTGTATTTTTGGTAGAGATGGGGTTTCTCCACGTGGGTCAGGCTGGTCTCGAACTCCTGAATTTCCGTGATCAGCTCGCCTCAACCTCCCAAAGTGCTGGGATTACAGTTGTGAGCCACCTAACTCATTCTTTTCCTTTTGGCAGAGGGAACTGGGGTCCTGAGTTTTATGTTCCTTTCTCATAGGTGAGGCCAGAGAAGTGACAAGACGGATGCCAGTCCAACAGGTGGTCATGTCCAGAGCGTGCAGCCTCAGGACACAGTCTGGGAACAAAGACTGCTAGAGAGTTGGAAGCTGGCAGCAGGGTCTCAGCTGTGAAGTCCCTGGTAGGGGAGAAGTGGGGTAAGAAAGCAGAGGTGAGGTCCATGCATGGGAACTGAACTGAAATACAAGGCTCTACTAAAAGCAGAAAAGGAATTAATCTGGTGGCTAGAGCCACGGTAGATGATCAGACCAGGGCCACCAGCAACATCTACCTGTTTTTCCTGAGAAAAGAAAAAATAAAGCAGTCTGAGCTCTGTGAGGTGTGCAAAATGATGAGGCGCAGAGAAACAGGAGTGTGGGACTTAATCCAGTGCCCCTTCCGCCACAGAAGCAGTTGTCCGAGGCAGTTGTTTGAAGGCCTTATTGCTCCTGACAGCCTGCCTCACACATTACCTCGTGTTCATGTGGAATTAGTGATTCAAAGAACAATGCGTAGCCGATCAGCACCTTCTGTTATTTTAATGCAAGTTCTTGCTAACAATTTAGGCACTGCCTCTTCCTTTCCCTTAAAAATCCACTTAGGCCAGGCTCTGTGGCTCACACCTGCAATCCCAGCACTTTGGGAGGCTGAGGTGGGTGGATCAGGAGGTCAGGAGTTCGAGACCAGCCTGGCCAATGTGGTGAAACCCTATTTCTCCTAAAAATACAAAAAAAATTAGGTGGGCATGGTGGCACGAACCTGTAGTTCCAGCTGCTTGGGGGCTGAAGCAGGAGAATCACTTGAACCCTGGAGGCAGAGGTTGCAGTGAGCCAAGATGGCACCACTGCACTCCACCCTGGCCAACAGAGCAAATCTCTATCTCAAAAAAAAAAAAAACCCAAAAAACAATACAAAACGCAGTGTAACTGCTGCTAACAGGAACACATATTCAGGGGAACCTAGGGGTATGTGCCCAGGTAGCCATCCTCAAGCTTGGGCTCAAGTAAACCGTATACTTTATCATATTTTCTGAATTGCATTTCTTCTTTTTTTGAGACCAAGTTTCACTCTTGTTGCCCAGGCTGGAGTGCAATGGCACCATCTCTGCTCACTGCAACCTCCACCTCCCAGGTTCAAGCCATTCTGCTACCTCAGCCTCCTCAGTAGCTGGGATGACAGGCATGTGCCACCACACCTGGCTAATTCTTTGTGGTTTTTTGGTAGAGATGGGGTTTCACCGTGTCAGCCAGGTGGTTTCAAGCTCCTGACCTCAGGTGATCCACCCACCTCGGTCTTCCAGAGTGCTTGGATTACAGGTGTGAGCCACTGTGTCTGGCCTGAATTTCATTATTTGAGGTTGACATCTTGGCTACCCAGATAGGAGCTGAAGCAGCCTTCAGGGATTGCCACCTCTTCAGCAATACTTGAAGCCTTGGTACCAGCACAAGTGACTATTGTTTACTTGACCTCACTGGGGCTGGCAGGGGTCTCTGGTAAGGCCCGTCTTGGGATCTGAATCCTCCTGACTTGGTTGAAGATTGAGACTTACGCCCTAAGAATTTGGTAGGGTTGGAACTGAAGCTCCACTGGAAGGTGGGAGTTTCCATTTTTATTCTCTAGGGAGGCTGTGGACTGCAGGTTCGTGATTTTCGCTTCTCCCTGAGGTTTTGCTTATCTTACCTTTAGAGTTTGCAGCCTTCTCCTCATTTGAAATTTGGTCCAAGAGAAAGTGTCATCTTTAAAACTGGCCACATTCTGAAACTCAGTTCAATTGACAAATCTAAACTTTCTTCTTTAGTGCCTGAAATTCCTCCCCTTATGTATTTTTGGTCATTTAGAAGGAAAATCTAAATTATGGGCTCTTGTGCTTCTATTTCTGGCTTTTTTGTTTGTTTGTTTTGAGACGGAGTTTTGCTCTTGTTGCCCAGGCTGGAGTGCAATGGCGCGATCTCAGCTCACCGCAACCTCCACCTCCTGGGTTCAGGCAATTCTCCTGCCTCAGCCTCCTGAGTAGCTGGGATTACAGGCACGCGCCACTATGCCCAGCTAATTTTTTGTGTTTTTAGTAGAGAGGGGTTTCACCATGTTGACCAGGATGGTCTCGATCTCTTGACCTCGTGATCTACCCGCCTCGGCTTCCCAAAGTGCTGGGATTACAGGCTTGAGCCACCGCACCCGGCCCTGGCTCTTGTGCTTCTAAAGGAGAGATCCATTAACAGAAACGGCAGCTGTATTCATGTGCATACTCATGGTGCCACCTTCTGTCATATCGAGAAAATTGTCTCACTTAACCCATGAAGACCCCAGACTACGATAGCTAAGATGGGGTACCTTGAAAATACCTAACTTAGTTTATGCACTGAACAGGAAAAAGCTGGATCTAAAATTTAAAAACTGAGAGCTATTTTTCAATGATACTTAGGAGCTTCTAAAAGAAGTTCTGATGAAGTAATTTCTTTGCAAGAAGAAAACGAGGTTATCTGAAATTATTTCTTTTTGTTTGTTTGTTTTGAGACAGAATCTTGCTCTGTTACCCAGGCTGGAGTGCATTGGTGCGATCTTGGCTCACTGCAATCTCCGCCTCCCGGGTTCAAATGATTCTTCTGCTTCAGCCTCCCAAGTAGCTGGGATTACAGGCGTCCCCTACCTTGCCCAGCTAGTTTTTTTTTTTTTTTTTTGAGACACAGTTTCACTCTCAGGCTTGAGTGCAATCTTGGCTCACTGCAACCTCCGCCTCCGGAGTTGAAGTGATTCTCCTGCCTCAGCCTCCCAGTAACTGGGATTATAGATACCTGCCACCACGCCTGGCTAATTTTTTGTGTTTTTAGTAGAGACAGGTTTTCATCATGCTGGCCAGGCTGGTCTCGAACTCCTGACCTCAGGAGATCTGCCTGCCTTGGCCTCCCAAAGTGCTAGGATTACAGGCATGAGCCAGCGTGTCTGGCCAGTCCTGTTTGTTTTTCATTTTTATTTTTAGAGACAGGGTCTTGCTCTGTCACTCAGGCTGGAGTGGTGCAGTGGTCCTATCATAGTTCAATGTAACCTTGAACTTCTGGGCTCAAGCAGTCCTCCTGCCTCCACCTCCCAAGTAGCTAGGACTACAGGTGGGCACCACCATGCCTAGCTAATTTGTTAATTTTTATTTTTGTAAAGATAGAATTTTGCTGTGGTGGCCAGGCTGGTCTTGAACTCATGGCCTCAATCCTTCTGCCCCAACCTCCTAAACTGCTGGGATTATAGGTGTGAGCGATTGCAGCTGGCCATGTTTATTTTAAGTTGTTTGTGTGACTCTTGACCTTTTAGGGAGCACATTTTTTTGTTCATCCTTTTCCCTTCCATGAACTGCTTTTGATTTCTGTAGTTTCTGTCTGTGGGCCTGCAGGGCTTCTGGATCTTTATGTGTATCTGCTCCGCTGAGAAGCCCAGGTCCTAGAAAATATGGCTGGACGGAAATTAGGATTGGACTGCTTGTGTAGCTAGCAAGATTTTCTTTCTTTCTTTCTCTCTCTCTCTCTTTCTTTCTCCCTCTCTCCCTCCCTTACTTCCTTCCTTTTCTCGCTCTCTCTTTCTCTCTTTCTTTTGACAGAGTGTTGCTCTTGTCACCCAGGCTGGAGTGCAATGGCACAGTCTAAGCTCACTGCCACCTCCACCTCCCGAGTTCAATCAGTTCTCCTGCTGCAGCGTCCTGAGTAGCTAGGGTTACAAGTACCAGCACGCCAGGCTAATTTTTTTATTTTTAGTAGAGATGGGGTTTCACCGTGTTGCCCAGGCTGGTCTGGAACTCCTGACCTCAAGTCATCCACCTGCCTTGGCCTCCCAAAGTGCTGGGATTACAGGCATCAGCCGCTGTGCCTGACCATAAATGGTTTTTAGGGGATTCAGTGGGCTTGGATATCGTCTGGTCAGACTTGCAGCCAGAGGCTGAATGACCTTTAATCAAAATTTCTAATCTTGTAGCTAATTTGTTAGTCTTACAAAGGCAAACTGGTTCCTAGGCAAGAAGGGGATCTCTATGGGAAAGGACTATTATCAATTTTGTTTCAGAGTCAAACTATAAACTAAATTCCTTCCCAGGGTTAGTCGGGCCAGTGCCCAGCAATGAACAGACAGCTTAAAGGTTAGAAGGTGGAGTTGGTTAGGTCTGATCTCTTTCACTGTCACAGTTTCTTCAGTTATAATTTTTGCAAAGGCGGTTTCACATTCCTCTTTCTCCTGTGCGGGTGCTTCCTCTGTTCCTCCTGCCCTTGGATATCAGACTCCAGGTTCTTTGGTCTTTGGACTCTTGGACCTACACCAGTGGTTTGCCTGGGACTCTTGGGCTTTCGGCCACAGACTGAAGGCTGTGCTGTTGGTTTCCCTACTTCTGAGGTTTTGGACCCGCCTGAGCCACTCCTGGCTTCTTTCTTCCTCAACTTGCAGACAGCCTGTCATGGGACTTGGCCCTGTGATGGCGTGAGCCAGTTCTCCCTAATAAACTCCCTTTCATACGCCCATCTATCCTACTAGTTCTGGCCCTCTGGAGAACCTGATGAATGCAGACCCTTGTGCAACTTCTTGCTTTCTAGCGTTTAGCTGGCTCTATTGAAACTCCGAAAGCAAATTTACATAAAGGAAATCTCCATTTGTAAGGGCGTCCCCTCCCTACACCCAAACCACTAGAAAGTGAAGGTGGGGAAGACACTGGCTTGCAGTTGCCCTCACAAACGGTAGTCTTTGGAGACACTTTTCCTGGCAGTCTCGCCTTGACTAGGCTTTACCTACATCCTTCTTCCTTGGTCTGAGTTTAACTCTGTGCTTTTGAGATGTGAATTTGTTCGACTTTGTTTCACCTGAGTCATCCCTTTAGAAGTGCACATTTAGTGGTGGGGCATGGGGGCTCACGCCTGTAATCCCAGCACTTTGGGAGGCTGAGGCAGGCGATCACTTGAGGTCAGGAGTTTGAGACCAGCCTGACCAACATGGAGAAACCCCGTCACTACTAAAAAATACAAAATTAGCCGGGTGTGGTAACACATGTCTGTAATCCCAGCTACTTGGGAGGCTGAAGCAGGAGAATTGCTTGAATCCAGGAGGTGGAGGTTGCAGTGAGCCGAGATCGTGCCATTGTACTCCAGCTGGGGCAACAAGAATGCAACTCTGTCTCAAAAAAGAAAAAAAAAAAAAAGAAGTGCACATTTAGTGTTGCCTAGCTAACGGCTGCTTGGAGATCATGTAAAAAGGGGACATAAAAGCGATCTGAGAGTGTAATCAGGCTGAGTGTAATGCTAAAGGCTACTTTACAAATTAGTTGGTCCAACTACAATTTATCTTCAGTAGAAATGGGGAATTTGAGAGAAAATTCTTTATAGAAGCTATAATATCTGCTTCTGTCTCTGTCTATATATGTGTCATTTCACTACCAAAATATATGAAAAAGCTATAATTAATTGGCTTCAAGAAGGGACCACTTACATATTTTACAGAAAATAGAAATTAACTCAAATGCCTTTTCATTAATATCACTTGGGTCAATTTTTGGTAAATAAAAGTGTTTAATATTGTTGATTTATCTTCTGAGTTATCAAGAAATATATGTGTATTTAATTTTAAGGTTTTTGATTTTATGATACTTGCCTCATATACAGTAATGTAAAGATAGTTAATAGAAAAATAAACTTGAAGGCTGGGTGTGGTGGCTCACGCCTGTAATCCTGGCACTTTGGGAGGCTGAGGCAGGTGGGTCACTTGAGGTTAGGAGATTGAGACTGGCCTGGCTAACATGGTGAAACCCCATCTCTATGTTATATGTAAATTTTCAGTGCCGCAAAATAAATAGCACTCCAATGTAAATTTCCTCAGCAACGCAATTTACTTCTATACAAGGGTGTGTCTCACAGATGGAGCAATGATAAGCACACACCTGGACAAGGGAGGGAAAGGAGTTCTTACCTCTGATGCAGGTAGCCCCTACTGCTGTGTCGTTCCCCTATTGGCTAGGGTTAGACTGTGCAGTCTAAGAATTCCCACTGGCTATTTTAAAGAGAGCAGGGGTATGAGCTGGAGTGGTGGGGTGGGTAGTTTGATGGGAAGGATGGTTACGGGACAGGTCAGAGCAGGTGACCAGGGGTGACTCAGGTCAAAGCAGGTGACCAGGGCAGGTGACTGGAGCAGGTGAATGGGATGAGTCAGGATGGAGGGGGGGACCAGGGGAACAGATGTGAGCTACTGATTAGAACCGGTGGAAAAGGTTGTTTACTGAAACTACAAGGAAGTTAAACTTTAAAATGGAGAATTAAAGAGTAAGAGAGCTGAACATACTGACACGCTGATTCTTTGAAGAGAAACTTGGAGTTCACTATATCTAACATCTATTAAAAACACAGAAAATTAGCTGGGTATGGTGGAGGGCACCTGTAATTCCATGATCTCAGCTCACTGCAACCTCTGCCTCCTGGGTTCAAGTGATTCTCTGGCCTCAGCTTCTGAGTAGCTGGGATTACAGGTGCACACCACCATGCCTGGTTAATTTCTGTATTTCTGGTAGTGACAGGGGTTTCACCATGTTGGCCAGGCTGGTCTCGAACTCCTGACTTCAGGTGATCTGCCCACCTCAGCCTCCCAAAGTGCTGGGATTACAGGCGTGAACCACCATGCCCAGCCAAGTGACATGTCTTTTCATAAATAAAGATGAAAAGTGAGTCATGATTAATTTTTTTCTTTTGTGTGAGAGAGAACTTTGTACGGTCCGAATGATAAGGGGGAAAGAAAGGAGGTTTTCGGCCTAGGGTAGAAGGCTAAAATGAACAAAGGAGGTCTAAGGACGCGGTGCAGTGACCTGTGATCCCAGCACTTTGGGAGGCCGAGGCGGGTGGATCACCTGAGGTCAGGAGCTCGAGGCCAGCCTGGCCAACATGGTGAAACCCTGTTTCTGCTAAAAATACAAAAACTGGCTGGGCGTGGTGGTGGGGGGTGCCCATAGTCCCAGCTACTTGGGAGGCTGAGGCAGGAGAATCACTTGAACCCGGGAGGCAGAGATTACAGTGAGCTGAAATTGTGCCATTGCATTCCAGCCTGGGCAACAGAGGGAGACTCCATCTCAAGGAAAAAAAAAAAAAGAGAGAGAGAAAAGACAAATAGTGGTTTATAATCAGCTACAGTCCAAAATTTGTCTTTCCTTCAAGGAAATTCATGGAAAGAATACTGACAAGCACTCTTGAATACAGGTTTCTAATAACTTTGGAGATCATACCAGTGGACTAGGTAAAAACTTCCAGAACGCTAATGAAAAACTGATGCATTCATGAAGATTGCTAACCCAGCATCAAGCATTACAATAATTAATTACACTGGACTGAGCTGATAGACGGAAATTATTTTAATAACTTTTTTGTTTCAACAATGCTAACTCTTTTGTTTGTTTGTTTTCAAGAGTCAAGAAATTTTTTTTTTTTTTTTTGAGATGGAGTTTTGCTCTTGTTGCTCAGGCTGGAGTGCAGTGGTGCCATCTTGGCTCACTGCAACCTCTGCCTCCCAAGTTCTAGTTATTATTCTGCCTCAGCCTCCTGAATAACTGGGATTACAGGCGTGTGCCACCATGACTGGCTAATTTTTTTGTATTTTTAGTAGAGACAGGGTTTCACTATGTTGGCCAGGCTGGTCTTGAACTCCTGACCTCAGGTGATCTGCCTGCCTTGGCCTCCCAAAGTACTGGGATTACAGGCATGAGCCACCATGCCTGGCCAAAAACTTAAAAAAAAAAAAATCTGTTTAGAGCTTATAGCAACTGGGTAAAGTATTTTTTTATGAGCAAAATTGAAGCATTGACCTTTCTTTCTACCTGATTTCTCCAAAAGCAGAAACTATTAATGAGTATTCTTAATTTACTGTAATATAGTTATTTGCATAATTTTAGTAAAATAAATTTTTCCCTTGTTAACAGGACACAATTGAAGACACTGGATATTCTACCAAGGCTTTGCCTGGAGTGGCGTACCTTCAGATATGACCAGACTGGTTTGAGGAATTGAGGTTGGCTTTACAGAGCCAATACAAAGCTAGTTGGAAAGATGGCCGTGTACCTTGTCTATACAGTTCCCTTACAAGGTTCCTGGCCTCGAGGTAAGTAAATAATTTCCCTTTCTGATAGGCCCAGGAACCTCAGAATATTCTGGGGCCTTGAGAGAAGAGGAACTCACCCAGTTGATGCAGGTTTTACAAGCACAATCTGGTGATGAATCAATCTTTGGCTTTTCAAACCCTCAAGGCTTTAAAAAGTCTAACCTGAAATTCTCTATGCAAATTCCTCAAAGCCAACTTGAAAAGAACCTTTACGGTCAATCACGATTCTTGTTCCACTTTATACGAATAATGAGTCTGAGTATATGCTAAAACTTATTTTACAAGTAACTTGGTCCCACTAAGATTTATTTTTGGTAGAAATAGGGAGTTGGAGAGAGAAAAATTAAGTTTCAGAAGAAAAATGTTGTATACCTACTGTTAGATTCCAGCCTGATGATTGTTTCTGAGTTTCTATTATTTTCCTACAGTCCTTAATTATTTCCTGGCTACAAGTCTTTAAAGAAGGGCTGGGTTTTAATTTCTTTTATGATGTTTTTAGTTTATTCATAAATTGAATTTTCTTTTCTGTTCAGGCATACACATTTCTTTTCAATTATAATTCTTATGTGTATTATATTTCTACTACGTATCTTTTATTTTTTTGTTTTTCGTTTTTGTTTTGAGATGGAGTTTTGCTCTTGTTGCCCAAGCTGGAGTGCAATGGTACGATCTTGGCTCACTGCAACCTCCGCCTTCCTGGTTCAAATGATTATCTTGCCTCAGCCTCCCAAGTAGCTGGGATTACAGGTGCCCACCACCATGCCCAGCTAATTTCTTATATTTTTAGTAGAGACAGGGTTTCACCATGTTGGCCAGGCTAGTCTCGAACTCCTGGTCTCAGGTGATCCACCTGCCTCTGCCTCCCAAAGTGCTGGGATTACAAGTGTGAGCCACCACTCCTGGCCATATCTCTTATTGTTTTGCTTCTCTTAAGAAAACCAGATTCATGGTGTTCTGAAGACTAGAGATGATTCAGCAGGCAACAGCAGCTGTATAAATTGATGACTGAGGTCTCAGTTTGCCACCCTGCGATGCCTTCCCAATTTGGCTTTTGGCTTTCTTCAGATTCCTCACTGAGAGGCATCCATCCCCAACATACTTTGGATATTTGTCCTCACCCAAATCTGATAATGAAATATAATCCCCAGCATTGGAGGTGGGGCCTGGTGGGAGGTGATGGATCAAAGGTGTGGGTTTCTCATGAACGGCTTAGCAGTGTCCCTTTGGTGCTATCCTCATGACAGTGAGTGAGTCCTCATGAGATCTGGTTATTTAAAAGTGTGTGGCACCTCACCTGCCACTCTCTCGCCCTTTCTCATGTTCCTGCTTTCCGTTGGTGACATGCCTGCTCCCCCTTTACCTTCTGCCCTGATTGTCAGCCTCCTAAGGCCTCCCTAGAAGCTGAGCAGATGCCAGCACCAGGCTTCCTGTAAAGCCTGCGGAACCATGTGCCAATTGAGCCTTTTTTCTTATACATTACCCAATCCCAGGTATTTCTTATTTTTATTTATTTGTTAGTTTATTTATTTTTCTTTTTCTACTTTTAATAAATGTTAGTTGAGTAAGTCAGTATAAATCAATGACCATGAAATCATGTGAGCAATCATCAGAGTATCTGATTTCTGAAAAGATGCAACAAAAAGTTTTCATTGTAAATGGACAATTTATAATGGTATAAATGTATGGCTCACAGCGTGATGCCGTAAATTGTAGACATAATGTGGAGTAATTAAATCAAGCTAGTTAACATACCCAGTGCTTCAAATACATTTCTGTGATGAGAATATCAATTTTGTAATGTATAATATATACTAGTACATTGTTGAGTGTATGCACCACACTGTACAACAGAACTCAAAAAAAGTACAAAACATAATCTTCCTGTCTGAGATTTTGTGCCCTTTGACTGTCATTAAATTTTTTTTTGAGACAGTCTCACTGTCACCCAGGCTGGAATGCAGTGGTACAGTCTTGGCTCACCGCAACCTCTGCCTCCGCGACTCAAGTGACCGTCCCTCCTCAGCCTCCCCAGTAGCTGGGATCACAGGCACATGACGCCACACCCAGCTAATTTTTTCTGCATTTTCAGTAGAGATGGTTTTTTGCCATGTTCTCCAGTCTAGTCTCAAACTCCTGACCTCAGGTGATCTGCCCACCTCATCCTCCCAAAGTGCTGGGACCACAAGTGCGAGCCACAGTGCCTGGCTTAAAATTTTTATGAGACAAAATATCAATTTCATAACAGCATCAAAAAGTGAGCAGGCCAGGCACACTGGCCCACACCTGCAATCCCAGCACCTTGGGAGGCCGAGGCATATTTTTCTGTACTAAAAATACAAAAAATTATCTGGGTGTGGTGGTGGATGCCTGTAATCCCAGCCACTCAGGAGGCTGAGGCAGGAGAATCGCTTGAACCCTGACCTCGTGATCCATCCGCTGCGGCCTCCCAAAGTGCTGGGATTACAGGCGTGAGCCACTGGCACCCAGACATGGATTCTTCTTTTCTTTAAGTTTTAATCTGTGCTTCTCTTGAAGCCCATGATGTCTGAGACGAAGCATTCGCTCCATGGTCACATACTTCCTTGTTTTCTTTTGCTTTCTGAAGGTCACGCCACACTCTCATTTCTTCCGATATTTATTTGTTTTCATGTGAGATAGGTTCTTACTCTGTTACCCAGGCTAGATCATGGCTCACTGCAGCCTTGTCCTCCTAAGGCTCAGGTGATTCTGCTTCCTCAGCCTCCCAAGTAGCCGAGACCACAGGCATGCACTACCACGCCTGGCCAATTTTTTTGGATTTTTAGTACCGATGAGGTTTCACCATGTTGTCCAGGCTGGTCTCGAACACCTGACCTCAAGTGATCCACCCACCTCAGCCTCCCAAAGTACTGAGATGACAGGCGTGAGCCACCGCGCCCAGCCGGGAGTGTGGGACTTCCGTCACGCCCCACTCACCTTCACCTCCTGTGCTCATGCCAGAGTCAGTTGTCTGGAGACACTGTTGCTCCTGACAGGCCGCTTCACTCATTATCTTGATGTTCACGTGGAATTTGTGATACAAAGAACAATGCACAGCTGATCAATAGCTTCTGCTAGTTTAATATAAATTCTTGGGAGCAACTTAGGGACTGCCTCTTCTTTTTCCCCTACAAATCTGCTTGTCTATCCTGGACAACATAGTGAGACCCTATCTTTATAAAAAATTAAAAAAAATTAGCCAGGCATAGTGGCATGTGCCTGTGGTCCCAGCTGCTGAGGCAGGCTGAGGAGAGAGGATTGCTTGAGCCTGGGAGGTTGAGGCTGCAGTTAGCTGTGACCACACCATGACAATCCAGACTAGGTGACAGTGAGACCCTGTCTCAAAAAAAAAAGAAGACCCACTCACCGCTTCTCATTGGAGCATCTGTTCAGGGCAACTTGAATTAGGCTCCCAGGTGGGCACCCTTAAGCTTTGGGGTTGAATAAACTTCATACTTAATGATATTTTCTAAATCTCATTATTTACAGTTGAGAATTCATACTTCCCTTTATCTGTTCATCCATATATCTCTCCTTTCACCCACCTATCCACCCATCTATCCATCCACCCATTTGTCTATTAATCCATCCATCCATCCTTCCATCCATCCACCCACTCACTCATTCATCCATCTGTCCTTTCACCCACCCATTTATTCATCCATCTGTCCATACACTGAGTCATCCATCCTTCCATCTATCTCTCCATGTGTCCATCTGTCCTTTCATCCACCCACCCATCCATCCATCCATCCTTCCATCCATCTACCCACTCACTCATTCATCCATCTGTCCTTTCACCCACCCATTTATTCATCAGTCTGTCCATACACTGAGTCATCCATCCTTCCATCTATCTATACATTTGTCCATCTGTCCTTTCATCCACCCACCCATCCATCCATCCATCTGTCCATCTGTCGATCTGTCTGTCCGTCCATCCACCCACTCATCCAGTCATCCATTCATCCATCTATCTTTTCACCCACCCATTTATTCATCCATCCATCCATCCATCCATCCATCCATCCATCCATTTGTCCACCTGTCCTTTCATCCACCATCCATGCATCCATCCATGCATCCATCCATCCATTCATTCTATCTTATATTTCGGGGGGCATGTCTGATGTGTCAGACACTGTTGCAGGTGCACAGGCACAAATTCGGAAGACAGATCTCCACTTAGAAGTCTGGCAGACACCTCAGCTCAACATATCTCCAGCTGACTTCATTTTGTCCTCCTCCTCCCATCTGTTGACCTTCTGTTCAAGCATTCCATGAATGCCCGTCTTCCACAGCCTACGCGCACCTGGGCCGCCCTTAGTTGTTCGACTCACATCCATTCCAGTTCCTTGACTTCTCTCAATCATGTCTGCTCCTCTTCCTCCTCTTGGCCATTCCTGGTGTACCTGGACCACCACAGCAGTATCTATGCTGCTTCCTCCTTTTCTAGGTCACCATTTGTCCCTCTGCCAGAGGGCTCTGTGGAAAATGCAGATTCCATCCTGCTATTTCTTCCTGGGAACTCTCCATGGCTCCCAGTCTCCAGAGTGTGCTGGGCAACCTTCAGCTCCTGGTCCTGGGAGCCTCCCACCTGTGCACAGTATGTGCTTCCCGGGCCCATGGCCACTCCCTTCTTCCCAGCACTCCAGCTTTGCCCTTGAGACCTCTTCGGAGTCATCTCCCTCCTGGATGCTCAGTGCATTTTGGGTTCTCACAGCCTTCCCTCCTTACCTGCAAGGGTGGAACAGAACTGGATCTGATACCCTGCTTTGCCACTTCCTGCTTTGTGACCGTGGTTATGAAGTTCTCTGGACTCAGGGTTTCCACTGGCTAATAGGATCTGCCTTGGAGGAGTGGATGAAGCTTGGCACTCAGTGGGTGCCCATGAGGCACCATAAACTGCCCTTGTTGAATGAGGCTGTAATGCAGTGTTGACATCTCTCTCCTACCAGACTGGGGCTGCTTAGGGCTCCAGT